AATTGCTGAGACTGGGAATATTGTACTAGACTCCAGGTCAGACAACTTTCAACCCGGTACAACACCCAAGCCCAGGGATCGGTAATAACACTTGAAAGTTAGTATTGGATATTTTTAAAGGCACAGTTGAACAAGGACTTTGTAGATGTCAGTGACAGAGGTTTGTTTCTCTTTCCAGTCTAAATCATTAAAATGTCTGAAGGAAATTAAAAGAAAAAGATGAAGCAGATTTAAAAGAATTTGTAATTATTTTAATTCCAAAAAAAAAATGACCCAATGCAAAAAAACAAAAAACCCAGCCCCATACATTACAAAAGGAAGAACAAAACATGTTACGATATTGCTAGCACAGAAAAAGCGGCATGGAAGATAGAATGGCGGGTAAAATGTTTAGGTCATCCTTCTGTAACACTGACTTTACTGAGATTTGAGGGTTAATCTGCCCTTCATGAAACTTCATGAAACCATGACAGGCAGTTCAAACCCTGCTGAAATGAGTGGGGGCTTGCACAGTGCAAGAACCAGAAGTTCACTTCACTTCAACAGGAGGAAACTCTTCTGGCAGACTTGGGCCTTATGCTGACCGTCCACTTGGGCCTGATGCAGACAAAACCTGGTTACCTGCAAGCCATGACTTGCAAGGCAAAACGCAAGCCTTTCTCCCTATTCCACTTTCTCCCTATTCCCATCAGCTGTGTGACCAGGGTTTAGCACTATATCGATAAGCGTGAACCCTGGTTAGCACTGATACGCCAGAAAAGCCATTGTTAATGCTGGGGAGGTACATGTTCTTGCAGCTGTCCCTCAATTTGCAGGCAATCATCTGAAAAGGAACCAGAGCCTGCACTTGACCTCCCCTTGATACGTCTGAAGAACTATCCAGACACCACCATGTACAGAATGTTCTGTCTTCATGTTGTCCCAAAGGGGGTGGAGAGTTGCTCCTAGTATAAGAAATTAATTCAGCAAATAACAGTAATAATAATAACAACAATCCCAATGGAAGCCTTTGGAACTAACAAATGTGATTTCTAATATTGTAAATAGATTAGAAATATGGTAATTAAATAATCTAAAAAAAACCCAAACACTTACTCTGCTGTACATTTATAAACAGAAATATTTACAAAACTCGTTTTTGTTTTTGTTTTAAAGAATGAGGTTTGTGGTTTGCTAACGATCATAATCTTGTCTGTTTCTTTGGTGCATTTGCCAATTTGTGTAATTTTTTTTAAAAAGCTAAAATAAAAAAAGCTAACAAATATTCAAGCAGTGGTAACAGGCCTGGGATACAATACTTTATCTTTTTTTTGGAGGAGGATTTTAAAACCACATTTTAATGGAAAATTCCCAACCATCTTCTAGCTGTAAAATTAAAATATAGCAACATCATTTCTTTCTGATTTTTTCCCCAGTCCGATAAAGAACTTATTTGTTCACATAGGTGCACATCTACCATGCGTGGATCCGATATAACCCCTAACCCAATGAGGACCATGTGGAGTTGCACATGGTACACTCGGGTTTTTCGGCACCAATTCAACACAGTATGGAAGCTACGGCATCCCCCAGAGACTACAAAAGAGAGCAAGACTCTACCCAGTTATTTAATAAATCAAGTGCTTAATTTTCTACAAAAGGGGGGACCCTGACACAGAAATGACCCATTGCCTAAAATCTGCAGCTATAGCTTCGTAGTAGGGGAGGATCACAAAGTGGGTTGAAGGGAGTCACAAGATCTCAACGTACGGCCCAAGAGGTCCTTCATTTAAGTGTCTTGGACATTAAAATAAGGGAGGGGGGAAAACCCAAACAAACATTGAAACAAATAAATAATGGAATTATACATTTCATTAAATAGCACTTCTGTAACCAGCAAGACATTTCATAACTTTTTCTTTGTTTGAAGTTGCAGCAGCAAGACAGGATAAAATTCACCTTACAATGGATCCCTGAACTAGCAGACACAACTAGGCTGTTAAAAACGCACCACCACAGGCAACAAAAGGGCTGACTTCTGTAGTCAGCCAAACTAGGTCTGGACCTGCAGCCTCAATTCCAAGTTACCACACTTAAGCAAGACTAACATTACCCCCCCCCCCCCACTCCTGGATTGGGAGCTTTCAACTCTGAAGAATCTAAATCCAGAAAAGATTGACATGGAAATGAAGATTAAGGCTGGGCGCAGCTTTTTGCTATGGACCTGGGGCCTCGTCATGAACAAGTCTTACAAAACCTTTGCATTCAACATAACCCTGGAAATGAAACAGACTTGCTTAGCTGGGGTCTCCATCTCGAGTTCCAAAAATGAACGGTAGTTATATTATTCTAGAAGACAAGGTGGCCTATTTTCTGATTAAGTCCACTTTTCTCTGACCACTGCTCAAGTAGACTGTAGGTTTGATAAGGGGTGGAAAAAAGATGCCACTAAGCCTATAATACCTTTCTGTTGTCACAAATTGTCACAAAGCAGTGACTGAGTTCTCCAGAAGTCTGCTTCAGGTAGATGTTGAGTATACAATACACACACACGCATACACAAATGAAAAGAAAGAGGAAGAGGCGATCCAGGCCATGAAGGAAAAGCTGAACGTCTGAAATTGAGATCAGGAGCTGTTAAAAGTCTTAGTCAGATCAGGGTTAGAACACTACCTGGTCTGAAACATCTTTTTCTCTTATTCTTAACCTGCCCCATGGTCCTTCCTTTCTGTGTTTTGTAGTGAACTTCCAGAGGAAAAGTTCTGGGGAACTCAAAAGGTTTCCCCTTACTTTGTTACAAGCTGGTTGTTCTTAATTTAAAAGGTATTATTACTCAGCTGCTGGCTACCTACAGTCTTTGACTAGCCTGCTATTTTATTCTCCAAGCTTCCCACTCTTGCTGGCTTACAGGATGCAGAGGCACAACAGAGCAAAATCATCCTTGGTACTACGATTCCTTGTAATCCATTGGCAGCTAGGGGCTTACGAAAAAAGCATCAGGTAGATGTTACTGATCAACAAGCAGACTCAGTCCCCTGTTGCTCCTCCTCCTTCATGAAGGGGGTAAAAAAGGTGCTTGAAAAAGGGACAAATAAGTTAGACTCAAGTGACAAAGATTACATTCCTCCTCAAGCATGGTTTATGTCAAGTAATGGCCAATCTTGATAATGCCACTGGCAATATAGAGGGTGAACACCTGCAATCTGGACAACAGACTGTGAGACAGTGGCAAACTTGAACATTTCTGAGATGCTGTCAACGGCCAAAGAATGGCTCTATCAAGTCCCCATAACAGCCAGTGTCATAACTGTAATCATGTGTCACTTTCAAGTGAAAACATAAGAGCTACAGTTTTTGCAAGATTACACCTGTGCTCCAGTGATGCTTTTCTTGCTAGTGGGGCAAGATTGGCTAAGACCAAGGTTGCATATGGAACTCTCAGAGAGACAAGAAGAAGCTGATACAGATGCTATTGTTTTGGTGGGTATACGGCTGATCAAATTGTGCCTTAAAATATCTATGGATATGAACTGTGAAGAGTTCAGATTCACATATATTTGCTTACAGGAAAAATATGCAGTTTGCAGTATTTTGACCCATAAGCCATTCTTTTGTGGTTCTTATGAGTAAACCGAGCGAGAGAGTGAGAGAGAGCAGCAGTGAAACAGTAGAAAAGTGAGAGAAGAGGAAAGTGCAGAGCGCCTTTAACAAGGTAAACCTAAATTCTGGATACTGGTCTCTGGGGGGGGGGAGTTTGTGAACAAAAAAAGCTCAGAGATTAACCACAACTGTTCAAATTAGATGGCTCTGAAATTTGGGGAACTGGGGACATGTTAAAAAGCAAGTGACCTTGAAATGACAAAGTAGCAATTGCAAGATGTAACTAAACATCATGTTGAGGCCAAGACAGGAATGTGTAAAAAATAATAATAATCACATGCGTGATGGCAAAAATATATATAATAAAAAATGATTGCACGTGAGGCTGTATATGAAAAACAGGATGCATGTCTTTGAAATTAAATTGTTTTCCCTTAATGCTTTTATAGGAAAAAAAAGTTACAGAGAGACCACAGAGGCATCTGAGCAGCATAAAACTTAATTACAAACAGCAGCCCACGTACAGGCATCGGAAAGGAACAGTCAGACATACGGACATTCGAACGACAATAATTATGTTAGTGCGCCAACTCGTACTTAAAAAAAAAAAGGTTGAAGGTGGCAGCATTTCCAAAGAGTTGCCATGTTTGAGGTGTTGAGAATTTACTGCAGTTACACAGCCTGGGTCATGATTCTGCAGAAGGCTATGTGTGGGCACATGGAATCCAATCGGAACAGCAGGATTCCTTATGGGGCACAGGCAGATGCTCACAAAGGTGATTTGTACCGGAGCACAGCTAGTGGACTGAATTCACCAGACAATGCCATTTTTTACATTCTCGTTGTTTCAGGGGGGCTCAGAGCTGACTTCCCACAGAAGCTCCTTTGAAACGGAGCTGGTGTAACGGCAGTGCTGATGGGATCGCTTCCCTTAATTTTTTTATCCTTGCTTTCTTTAGCACTCACTCAGCCATCACACAGTATTATTACACATGCTACATGGGCGAGGGGGGGGAGGGCGGGAGGGAAGGTTGAATGAGGAGAACGTTTCTTTTGAACAAGGGTGTTTTTTTTCCTTCGTTTCAAAACTTGAGAATTAAAAAACTTTCAAAAGCGATGCTTAAAACAAAACAAAAAAAAACACACGCTCTACACGTCTAAGATTGTATAGAAACCTTGAGTCTTGTAAACTTGGACCAAGAAATTAAAAAATAATAATAATTAAGACCTCCTAGCATTTGGTATAAACACTCCCACCCCCTCAAGGAATTGTATACCTGCCTTCTGACTTCTCGGGAAAAACAAAAAATCAGAAATTGCATAGGATATACGTTGTGCAAGGCGACCAGCCTTTGAAAAGTACCTGGAATATAAACTAATCTTGCTTAGTGTCCAATTCTTGTTTTCTGTTTTGCAAAGAGTCAGATATCATCAAATTTGTGTTTTAAGTAGTCTTTCATGACCTTGGCAATCGGTAGTTCATCAAGTAGTTTGAGATTTTGAAGGCCTATACACTGGCGAATTTTAATTCGGCATAGATCTTGCAAGTTCCTGGGTTGCCCTAAAAAGGGGGAGGAAAAAGAGGAGACAAAAGATTAATATCTCAATTAATGGTTTTTAAATTAACTGATGCAGATAAGCAGAAGGTCCACAGGATACGTCTGTTGTTGGGATGTACCATTAAGATTACGGGTTAACACCAGTGATTGAATCATCCTCCATTATTTTTATTATTATTATTATTATTATTATTATTATTATTATTATGATAATTATTATTATTATTATTAACTTCATTTATAGCCCGCCTTTCCCGCTGAGACTCCAAGTCAATGATAAAACTTCATAAAAACAAATTCAAACAAACAGCAAAGATTTCTAATAAACAAAACAATGCAGTGGGACGACAACTTAACACTTGGAAAATAACGCAAAAAAGCAAAACAAAACACCACCACAGAACAAAACTGTGCAGTTTGACAAGCAATACAAAAGAGGGGGCTACAAAGATAGAACACCTTGAACCACAGTAAAAAGTTTGGTGATACCTATAATATAAAGGTAAAGGTAAAGGTTCCCTTGCTCGAAAGCCAGTCGAATCCGACTCTAGGGTTGCAGTGCTCATCTCCGTTTCCGAGCCGAAGAGCCAGCGCTGTCCGAAGACGTTTCCGTGGCCATGTGGCCGGCATGACTAAGCACCAAGGCGCACGGAATGCTGTTCCCTTCCCACCAAAGTGGTCCCTATTTATCTACTTGCAATTTCTTGTTTTCGAGGCTATAATATAGTATACTACAACAGAAACAATGACCTGAGCTAACACATTATACTATAGTTCTGACCCCCTTATATATATATATTTTTTTGCTGTCAAGTCACAGCTGACTTGTGGGATCCCACGCGGTTTTCTAGGCAAGAGATGAACAGAGGTGCTTTGCCATTGCTTGCCTTTGCGCCGCAACCCTAGACTTCTCTGGGGTAGAGAGCAAACGGCAAGTACGCATGGTCCCAAGACAAACAGGGGCATGTGAGAAGGGGAGAGAGGGGTCCACCCTTCAACCCCTTTGCTGTTTTGCTAATCAAATCTGTTTTGGCCCTAGACCAACCATTGATATATCGCAGATGGAAATCTTTCCCACCCTTGCTACCAGAGATCCTTTTAAAGGTGGAGATGACATTGGAGAGTAGGTTGATTTTTGTTCTTCCAATACTGGGCTATAGTTATGCGTGCAATAGCTAATAATGTTGCTATTAATGTTCTAGTGACTTTTCTTTCACAGGTATCTGGGATGACATCCAACAAGACCGTTTGTTGGCAAAACAAACTTTGGGAGCACTTTATATATGGTAAAATTGTCTCTCACCAAAAAACTTTTCAAGCAACTTGGTTCCCAGTGGTGAACTATCTAGCAGAAGAAGTGATTCCAAACAACTCTTATTACAAAGATCTGTTATATTTTTAAAAGGGCTCTTAAGGGTTGAGAAAGTTGATTATTGCATAGCGTCAATATATGTTATGAATGTACTGTTGTATATATTGTTCAAAATAAAAAACACTTATTGGGATAAAGGCGGAGATGACAAAGATAGGACCTTTCGGCTGGCGTGGTCTGTGTCTCTGAGCTCCATTTCCCAACACACACAGAAGGCCACAAACGGTAAATTTCAACTAGCAGGAACAAAGGGGGGAAAAAAGTACTTGCCCTGACCTGGATGGCCCAGGCTAGCCTGATCTCATCCAGTCTCGGATGCTAAACCCTGGTTTGTATTTGGAAGGGAGACCACCAAGAAAGTCGAGGGTTGCTATGCAGAGGACGTCACTGACAAACCACCTCTTTGCCTTGAAAATATGGGGGCTGCCATGAGTCAGCGGTGATTTGATGGCACTTTGCATGCACACAAATGCACACACACATATACATGTACTTAAATAAAAATAAATAAATTTATGACCCTGTTTCCTTTATAAAAGTGACCTCTTCAACGATTCTGCTTCATGTTGTTTGCAGAATGCCAGGGGCACTGGAGTCTTCCTGAACTCCTCAGGTAGGCCATGACAGGGAAGGGATGTGTATGGTCAGTTGTTGATCTCACCCATCTGCAAGAGGGCACCCACAGGAAGCCCTGCTCAAATCAGTGAAGTTGTCATGGTGCACACAGGTGAAGAGGCAGTCTTACACATATGAACACCTAAGGCCATGAAGGGCTTTGTGTGTGACAGCCAATACCTTGAATTGAGCTCGGTAACTGATGGGCAGCTAATGGAGTTCCTCCAAAATGGGTGTAATGCATATGCTCCACCTAGTTTCAGATAATAATCAAGCTGAGGCATTCTGCACCAGGTCTGAGTTGATTCCAAGGGGAGACCTATATAGAGTGCCAGGGCTTTTTTTGTAGAAAAAGCCCAGCAGGAACTCATTAGCATAATAAGCCACACCCAACAGCAGAAAGTCATTAGCATACCAGGCCACACCCCTGACAGCACAGCTCATTAGCATATTAGGCCACACCCCATGCCCCCCCGTGGCTGGCCCCGCCCCCCTGGGGCGGCAGGGAGCCGGGGCAAGCCGGCCCTTGGACAGGCCAGGGAAGGCATGGGGAGGCCAGGCACGCAGAGGTTTTGTAGCCAGGCACACAGAGGTTTTGGCTGTAGTGGGCGTGGCCAACTCTGAAGCCAGCCGGAACTCTGTTCCTGTGTGTTCCTGCCCAAAAATAGCCCTGTAGAGTGCATTACAACAGTCTAGTCTCAATGTTACCATACATTCATTGCAGAGGACATACAGAATTTGGGTCAAGTTTGTATTCATACGAATGCTGAAAGTTCTGGACAATTTCTGTGAACCTTCAAAAACTACATCTACTTTATTTTTGTATTTTTCATATGTGCGTGCGTGTGAGTGTATGTGCACCTGGAAGTCATGGCAACCTCTGGTGACAGACTGTGTGTGCACCTGAACGTCATGGTGACCTCTGGTGACTGACTCCTACTGGGGATCTGGAGGATATTCAGAGAGGTGGCTGAATGAAGCCTGCCCCCGCCTCCCGACTGCTGGTTTTCCAAGGAGGTCTCCCATCCAAGTACTTGCCAGAGTTGACCCTGCTTAGCTTCCGAGATCTAACGAGATCGGGCTTGCCCGGGCTATCCAGGTCAGGGCAAAAAAAAATACATGTACTTTTTGAACATAAACTAGGGAATAACACATTATACAGACTCAGTATCTGTTTTGGGGGATTCAATAAGACTCACTGAGCATTCTGCAAAGAATGGAACTCCAGAGGCTGGGTGGGGGGAGTCAACTAATACTTAAGAGTTTCCCCGAGTTGATTATCAACAGTCTTGACATTTCCCCCTGATAAGCCGAAGAGCATTTCCTGGGAATGTGTTAACAATGGGCATTTGCAGTGTTAAGCACCAGTTGCCACATTGGTGTCTAGAGCACTTACTCATTCTTGATTGCCTCTGAATGAAAAAAGGGAAGGAAGGGAGAGAAGGATTATAGACCAACATCACTGAACTTTCATTTGGCAAAATGAAAAATGCTATTAGTAATCTCGCAAGAGCGAGGCAAGGAAAAAAAAAAACGGAGACAACGATTCAAGCCTTGCCTGATGATGATTAAGACATAATAAGTGTGGATTCTTTGCTCAATTTGGAAAGACCTTCAGGTTCAGATTAAAAAGGGATTAGTTGAACCAAGAGGTTTCCAAAACTAGCACATTGGCCCCAGAAATACTTCAGCAGCCAAACCAATTTTATTTACTCTCTGCTGCCTGCTCCAAAACTTGGCACAAGTTCAGAGAATCAAATCCAATAAATTAAACGCATGCACACACACATACACACACACATGCCTAATATGAAATTTAAAAATCAAGAGATACTGCAGGGTGTGAGCCAGCAGGATATGTGACAACATTTTTACTTTATAATGATGGAACTCAGTCTCCGAAGTCTGGGAAATTGAAGGAATCAAAAGGAGCTGGTAAAGACAGAACAGAAATGGTGCTGCGTGTATTTTTAAAAAAGATGTATTCTCCCTGTTCATATCAACAGAGAGGACATGGTGGCTGGAAAGACTAACTGAACTGATTTCTACCGAGAACAAATTTAGAGTCCAGTGGCACCTTTAAGACCATCAAAAGTTTATTCAAGGTATGAGCTTTCGTGTGTATGCACACTTTTTCAAATATTTGAAAAAGTGTGCATGCACATGAAAGCTCATACCTTGAAAAAAACCTTTGCTGGTCTTAAAGGTGTGCCACTGGACTCTTAATTTGCTCTACTGCTTCAGACCAACATGGCTGACCACCTGGAACTGATTTCTACCTATCAATCCTACCCTGCTTCTCTTCCCTACTGCCTGTACCAATCCTCTCTGGACTTTTCAAGGAAGGTGAATTCCTAGCTTCGGCAGCACATATACTAAATTCCCTGCGTAGTCATTATTTCCATACGGGGACTGGTGTGCGCACGCTATCACAAGCGACAGGAGCACAATCCGCTGTGTTCGCACACTGGAGAAGAGGCTTCTAGTGACTGCATATGAACCTATAAATACAATTTCTTACATAGAACAGATGTTGCTGTAGAAAATTTGTCACATCTGAGTAATAATGGAAACTGAATGTCAGTGGGATAGAGATGACTGACCACTGAAGCTGCCTTATACTGAGGGCCCACTTACTTCAGTGCTGCCTTCTCTGAAGGGCAGCAGCTCCCCAGAATCTCA